CCCAGCATCCGTTTTGCCGCCACATAACCTTGTGCTGGCCAATAGGCCAACCAAACTTCACCGAAACTGCCGCATCCGATGCGGCGTCTGAGGACCAGACTGTTGCGATGTATGTGGAAGTCAGGTGTCGGGTCCTGATGACGCGGTGGTGCTGACTGTGGTGGTGACCCTATGACGACGCCATCGGCAGATGATGGTACCAGGCGACAGGGTAGTCCACCCGCTGAGACTGGGATAAAAATGAAAAGTGAGCGGTGGTGGTGGTGGTGGAGAAGTGGGGGAACAGAAAAGGTCCATCAAGGGCGACTGTCTGGGTTATTTGACTTGACCATAGTTTTCAACGCACTCTGCTTATGGGATGAGACGGAAAACTGAAAAGAGATGGTTGTACCATTAATCCCTCTAGGATTCTTCACAAGAACACCTATGAAGTTTTTAATTCTACCACGCAAAAAGTAAGAGCCCGTGTATTCCACTTGCTATGTGTACACTTAAGATTATTTAAAAAGATAACATTTCCGACAAACGCAAGGGAGACTGGAATAGCCACTTCTGGCTTATTGACTGTCATCAGCCGGTCATACTCAACACCAAGTAGTATACCACCCAAGTCCACCAAGGCTCGAACCCACGACTAAACGGTAGAGTAACTTTCTTCAACGAGTGTCAATATTCCCGATCTATACGGGCAAAACAACGAGCCTGTGACTCAATGGTTAGAGTGGTAGACTTCTGATCAAATGGTTGCTTGTTTGAGCCTCGGGTGGTGCACCACTTAGGAAAGGATATGATGGGCTGATTACAGCTAATGAGCCAGTAATGACCATTATAGTTTCCCTTATTTTGTCGGCAATGTTTCTGCCTAAGCTACTAGCCCCTGTGTGGCTGCTTGCAGGGCGAGTGAGTTCCGTTAGGGATCGATGAACGTTCATCAACAATTATTGAAAAGGCCTTCGATGGAAAGCAGATTCTTGATAGTCGGCGTATTTGTGCACGCTGGAGTACGCTTTCTAAACCTTCCTTAATTATATACAAAATCCACATGGATTACAGCGAACTGATATGGGCTCCGATAGATAGTCCGATTCCGATCAGCAATACCTGATGTGCGGCTTTCTCTTCAACTGGGCGGTGACAAAGTAAGCTTGCCACATAGTTTGACCTAACATTGCCGACTCGCTTGGTACGTTATCCACATTCTCTGTCAGAAAAGAATGAACATTAAATCCTCCCCGTCATTTGGCTCACGCTAGAATTCATAACCATGGGAAAGGTGGTATCAAGTGTTCATGGACTGTGTATTCCTATTTTGGTCTGACTGTCCGCACATACCTTGCGTGTTATTGTTCATGGTCGTGACATTTGAAATTAGCTTAAATTTTCTAGACTTGTAGAAAATAAAACTTTTACGTTTTCTGAAACTACATACAGCACGCTGAGGTTCGAGCCATGCAACGTCTATGTTACTAATAGAACCACTGAAGCACTCTCCGGTGAGTGAACTAGCCCAGACGTCAGTCAGATAAAATCAAATTTAATCACCGCAGTTTTCAATTCAGAGCCCTAGTGACCTCAGACTATTTATCTGAGAAATCGACAGCGTAGCGTGCTCTAGACGATTCCTTCTACAGCAGTGTGCCTTCGTACTACAAAATGAGATAAGGCGCCTTAAGTGTAAATTTCACACCTTACTTAAGTTCGGAGATTTTTCTGCAATCCACAGGCAAATCCAAGACGCTAGCTAATCCACAACATGAAGCTGAAAAAAGGAAAAACAAATTCTTACTCTACAGAATAGCGGAAATCCTCTGTAGCTGTCAATGATTTCCGGTAGTCGGCAAATACAAGAAGTTATATGCAGAATGTTTCCAAACTTCAATTTATTGCCTATTGCACGCGCATTAATGACATAATTAATGTCCAAACAGAAAAAGACTTGCTTATCGACGCGTCGATTCTTCTTTGTTAGAACCTGCATACTAACTGGGTACAAAATGAAAATGGATATTTTCATTTATTCTGATAGATTGAGAGTCATAACAAACGTCAGTCGCACGAAGTAGTCACTATACCCTGGGCCCACTAAACTAGAACTCCCTTTCTGTGGCTCCGCAAGACTATTCTGAGCGCAGCTATCGTATCCAGGTAACGATCTCAAGCGGCAAATTATAGGCGCTGAGAGGGAGAAGGAGATGCCTTCTCAATCAATCACTGTAATGAAGTTTCCCTGCAAGACATCCCTGTTTCTCAGAGGCAGGGATAGTCCTTCATCATATGTACGTTGGTTATTAAGGATAAAATCGAACATACCCTCGTGGCATCGGATAAAATCGCTTAAACTGGAGTAGACCGAGGTCTTGGAGAGGTAGTAGTGTTGGTGCTGTGGATCGAATTTGATGCGAAAGTGCTTGACGATGACGTTCCTTTTTCCTTTTTTGGCCGTTTTCAAGGATAGGGCAATCACGTTTGGTTCTGTTTGGAAGGGAAGAATAGTATAAAGCAAATCTGCGGTGAGGGTCTCAATAAACGCTCAAACTTGTGCAAAACTATGGCACAGAGAATCATAGGCCGGTATGTAGGTTGAAAGCACGAAAGACCCAGCAATATTCTCTGACTGTCCGGGAAAACAGAGACAGAGAGCACGCGGATGCTAAGGTGCTAGTTACCAACCTGCCACGGACGAAACGGAGAAGACCTTCTTCATAGCAACCTAGAATAACAAAACGCTACCGTCATCGCGTCTAGCACTGCTACAGGGTTTCGATTTAGCATCTGTCTGTCTGACTATTACAATCACGGCAGTGCCCCTCCAGAATCCCGCGAGGATAACTGAGAAGAAGAAGACGACTCGATCGCTGGGACAATACGTTTATTCGCCTGACGTCGTTTCTGTCGTGGATTCATCATCAGAGACATACTCACAGAACAGTAGCAGAAACAGTTTGTGTGTGCACAGGGTTCCGCCGTAATAATTTAAACGTACAGAAAAAATCGATAAATGCCCTGAGTGTGAGCCAATTCGTTGCGTCAGCAATGACCATCGAACGCAGTTAGTCTGGATAAAGTATGGATTCCACCTCTCATGGCCAGAATCTTAAGACACAGACGACCATTAAAGCAATGAACTATACACCACTCCCTCACCAATCTCAGGAAATGTTGAGCCAAATTCTAAAATGCGTTTTCAGTCTGGAAGACGTTGGCGTTGTAAGACTGATCCTTGCACAGCATTTATTCAAGAGATTTTAGTTACATCAGGATGCCGGCTTTTGAATGCATGTATTTTCGGCCGCCTGTGAAAACCGCACTGGATACAAAATGATTACAAACGTAGTTCTAATTGTTGTCTGTTTATATTTGGGGTTTTATAAATGCAGCTATATCTTTTTATAAAACGTGCTCTAAAACATCCTAATGATACTTATTTGGTAGCCGTTTGAGCCTTCTTTAAAATTTCTACCCGGAGAAACGGTAGCTTCTGAGTTTAACTGTTTGCTATTTTGAGAAGTGTAGTTGAAACTTTTTAAGATTATGACAGCAAGATCGGTGAATAAGGAAAGAGTCACCTGAAATCTGAAGAGTTTCAGGGGGAATTGATAAGAGGAGGGATGGAATGGATGATCTTGCTGTGAGGTGTTGGTTTATACCCTAAAGACGGTTGGTGGTGCAGGCGATTTGTGGTCAATGTTATGCCGCACTCAAATCAAACAAATACGTTTCACCGATTAGGACAAAGTAACCGAAGTAGGCCTTTGTAGCCTTTGTTCCAAATAGAAAATAACTGCATTCTGAAATGAGATGCAGTTTGTTTTCGAAACAGAAGCTCCATCAGTTAGGCTATACTGCGCCGGGATTAGGATCCTAGGCATTTACAGTCTAATTCACCGATGTTAGTAAAAAAAACTGTAAACTAATACTTGTCCGTTTACACGCTGCCGCTTCCGGGAGCTCTGCACCCGAACCCCAAGGCAAAACTAAACGCCCGTATACCGTTCGGTACTCATACCAGATCCATGACCTCCGCCCTCATTTGATTTATTGTCGATCCAGTCACATGTTTGATAGTAGGCATCTGTTGATCGTTTTCTACTCAAATGTGCATTCAAAAGCTTAGATGTGAAGTGGCGCATGATCTCCAGTTATGGTTTAGGAACGCGAAATTATGGACAGTAGAGATTTCCCTGACCGATAATATCTAAGTCTGTGTGCGAACTATGTACGGCCAATGATACGGTTTACTCCTTATGTTCAAAGTGAGATCCTTGTGAAACATTGTATTTGCGAACCCTTTGTACTCCTTCCTGTTTTCTTCGTCAGTTATGCAGCATGTAGGCCTATGTACGTATTTCTGATACCATCGTCATAGTAAGTAGTTAATTTGTATAGCCCTCTAAACAGGACATGGAAATCGATTTTCTTTGTGCCAAATTCCAGCGAAAATAGGGCAAGGTTTGTGTTCGGGGTTACGGATAAGCATAGAGGTAGGTTTAAGGTAAAGGTAAATGTTAAGATAAGTAAGGATTGAGTCTAAAGTTAAGGTAAGGCTGAGTATTTACTGTAGGGTTAAGGTTAATATCAAGATTACCGTAAGGGTAAGGACAGAAAAATGTGTACAATTCCTGGAATTCTGTCCAGTGCCACCTTCATTACTTGAGAAGGCCTTTCCTATTTTTCTGTCCTGATAAGGGGGTCATACAAGTTGTCCTTGCCGCTTCTTTTAATTTGGCAAAATCTGCGCACTTCCAGTAGGTCAGTTGAGAACATATGAATTTATAGGTCTTCTGGCTGGCCAAATTATTGAGGATTAAGTGCACGTTGGAGGAACTTATAAATTTTTAAACATGGGACAGTAAAAACCTACTGTCAAATGGTGTAAAGTACGATTACTAGTTAATGAAGTCTATGGACTCCGAGTGGGCACAGATGCCGCACATGCTACCCTTCGTTGTCCATCGGAACGTGTCTACACAGGAGTTAACAGCACCTCGTGCTCAGCGATTACAGCTGACAGGATCACAAGTTTATGGTTCAATGTTTAGAGCATTGTACCGATATCTAAGGAGCACAGATATGAGCATCAGTTGTCTCCGAATCTGGGGTTGGACAATGCTGGTTGGTGACGGTTAATAGGTCAGAAATAGCCATTCCAGTCTGCATTGCCTTGTTCAATAGTCTTCCATTGAAGACCTTTGTTATCTCCACGTGATACGCATTCGTAAACTTGTAAACTACGGGTACCTACCAGAATTTCGGGTCTCGAGATGTATTTATTTCGTCGTGAAGTAATTGTTATACAATTTGTACGCACGCTTATATGCATATATGTTATTAATATAGGGATTTACGACTTCAAGGAACGGGGGTCTTCAAAATGCTTAGTGTATTTAGGTTTGGTATATATCCCAAATATTTCGATCGTA